GTTCTGTGACTCCTTTGTCCTTTAATGATTAAACCCTGTTAGAGACCATACTAGGATCCCACAGTTCTATCCCATTCCAGAAGGTGCCCAGAATACTAGGGTTCATCCTAGAGTGCTTGGCCCTTTTCTGACAGCATCTTTCCTTTGTTGGGGATCAGAGATTACCTCCCCAAATAGGGCCAGAGAATGCAAGGGCTGAGCAATATGAACTAAAAGAACAGATACATTTTGGGGGAGAGGGACTGAGGAATGCAGCAGGGAAGAAGAGGCTGGAAGATGTAGAGGCAATAGGCAAAATCCAACCCTCTAAATCTTAAAAAACTAAAAAAAAAAAAAAAAGTCACCACAAAATATTCACTTGGGAAACCAATCCAGTTGACATACTTGTTTTGATGAATAAGTAAATTTCAAGTGGACAGATCAAGAATTAAATATCTATATATGTTTAAAAGAATCATACCTATTCTATTAATATTTGTGCTTAAGGAATCTTGGCGTACTCAGCATTTTAAGTAAATTTGTATGTTTAAGAGAATTTGGCCGAGGCTGCCTTTGTTACTGCAATTTAAACTGTGAAAATGAACAACAGATATAAATTTGTGATTATACATTCAAATCTCTACAACATTTATAAGAGGATTTGAAACACGTAAGAATACTGAAGCTTTTCTCGGGTATACATTGAATTTCTAAAAATTACTCAAGTACTCTGAAAATATTTAAGTCAGACAACCTATGAAAATTTTAAAAATCATGATGACATGAACACTGAATGAGCTTTTCACAATTGCAGGAGGCCATCAGGAAGCAGACTTGTCCATGATTTATTTAACCTGTTTCCCTTCCACTGTAGACTCTAGAACACATAACCATATTGTACCAAGAAACTCAAGATGCCTATTGAGTGATTTATCAAACTTTTGTTTTATGAATTTTTACAAATATTTACTTTCATTATCTTCTATCAGTCACATAGCCTCCTTCATTCTTTTTGATAGAAATTCCCTTTACTGCTTTGTAAAGTTTGCCCATTTAAATTCCCACTTAGAGAAAAGAATAATAAATACATGAATTCCCACATCTCAAAAGGAAATAAGGAAAAAGAAAAAATGTGAAAAAAAGAAAAAATGGAAACAAAGTCTTTGTAAATAGGGAAGGGTGAAAGGGGTGAAGGGAGGACAGAGGTATGGGAAAAAATAAGAAGGAAAACCTATCAGTAAAGGTACAAGATCCCAATGATAAATGTAACTGTATTGTTTGCTTTAAATGTACCAATAAACTTAATGGGAAAAATAAATAAATACAATTCCCACTTCCCCACCTTCTCTGGAACACTGATTCAAAGCTAGCTAAACTTGAGTGTCCCAAATTTTAAGTCCTAAAACCTCCAATAAAGTCCTTTTATTTTTGTAGTTTCTGAGTTATTTTTGTTGTTGTTGTTGTTGTTGTGTGTTTGGTTTCAGTTTTGGTTGGGGGGGCAGAGTTGATGGCAGGAATCGAACCCAGCACGTTTTACCACTGAACTATACCTCCTGCTAGTTTCTGAATTTGAATTGTTCAACAAACTGCAGTTCTTAAGCCTAAAAACAGATTAAGTGTATAACTGCAGCTTAAAATGACTAAGGAGAGCCAGGCACGCTAGAGGTGGAGGCAGGAGGACTGATCACAAGGCCAGCCTAACTACACAGTAAGACCCTGTCTCAAGCAAATAAACTAAGGGGAGAGGGTATGCAGCTCTGTGACTGAACACTACTTGGTTTAATTCCCCACTGCATTATTTTTAAAATTTCAATAAATAAAAATAAAATGCGGTATTTAATTAGCCAAATTGGAATTAAGCATTATTCAAAGGCCCTCACAAATGATGGTTAAAATGTAAGGCTTTTCAAATCTTGTTTTGGGCTTTTTTGTTAGATTTCTTTCTTTCTTTTTTTTTTTTTTGGTAACGGGGATCGAACTCGGGCCCTTGCATTTGCAAGGCAGGCAGTGGAACCACTGAACCAAACCCCCTTTATTTCTTTTTTAATATTACTTAATAGAATAAACTTTACAAGTTAAATTTAAAAGCTTAAATCAGAACTAGGGTCCTGAATTTCAAAAATTGAATATTTTGTTTCACCCAAAATATAGTGTTTATGGCATAAAAAACAATCATCTCAAGGCACTAAATAAACTCATTATTTAACAACTGGAAGGATCCATGGAACATTCAGAAAAGAGGAAGCCAGAGTGGATCAGCTCTCACTAAATGTACATTCTTTGAGGAACTGAAAAAGCATATGGTTTTGAGAAATCATTCAAAGACTAAGAGACTCCTTGATTCCCTCCACTCCTTGGAATAAACCTGCTGGCCTTGTTTAGGGCAGTTCTTGGCTCCTAACAAGAAAGAACAAAGGAACAAAGAAGGAAGGCAAGGAAGGGAAAGAGTGGAGAGGGAACTCAGTTATTTTCCTGAAGGGGCAGCTCCAGAGCCTAACAAGGATCCTTTATATGTGGGAGAGGCACCAGGCAAACCAACAAGGCAATGGAAGACAGAGGGGCACAGAGGAGGAACAGGGCTCCGCATGACCCCCAAAGAGCAAATTAAAAACCAAACAAACAAAAAGGGGAAGAAGGAAGCACTATCTGCTTAAATCCACATTGTACAAACAATACAGCAGTCATTAGTCACCCACAGCTAGTGTGGATTGAGATGTAAATGGAAAATCACGCAAGATTTCAGAGATAAGATAGATAAGAGAATGTACAGTATCCTATTAATAAATTTATATTGATTATACATCAAAATTATAATGCTATATGTATTGAACAAAATATTCAATTGAAATGAATTTTACCCTATTCCTTTTGCTTCTCTTAAATGGCTGCTGAAAAATTACAGTCATGGCTGACATTTATAGTTTGTATTGTGCTGGTTTACAGTCCCCATAAGGCCATCAGACGGTGCATCACCCCAGCACAGAGAAACCTGTTTAAAATGGGCCCCAGGTGGGCAGGTTGTGTGGGTAGAGACAATAAAGGAGGGAAACAGGCCAGATAGGAGTACGGACGAGGAGTTAGTGTTGGCAGTCAATTCCAGTTTTCAGGGCCAGTATGATGAGGGTGTAGGTCAGTCCCCTATAACAAAGAATTACACAGCCCAATGCCAAGGTTGATGAGTCACACTAATACTTGTCCCCAAGCATAACATATGTGTGGAGGATGATCAGGAGGTGAGGGTAATTACTGCCTTTTATTGGGCAGGTGTGGCACGCTGGGTGTCCCTGTAATCAGAAAGCAGCCCGCTGAATGCTAAAAGTCATGGAGGAAAAAGTAGTTTTCAAGAAGTGTCCCTGGGCCAGGGATTTAACTCAGTGGCACTGCGCCTGTCTCTCAATCTCCAGGTCCTGAGTTTGTTCCCTAGTTCCACAAAAAAAAAAAAAAAAAAAAAAGTGTCCCTGCACTGGGCATAGAGCACTTGACTAGTTCAATAATACGCAGATCCCCAGCACCACGAAAAAGTGACCCTATTTCAAGAGAAAAAGTCACTGCCAAGACCCACAGTCCTATAATCCAAGCTCTGCTGACCAACCCCACAGGCTCAGAGCCAACTGTGCCTCCATTTCTGTCTATGATGTGAAATAATTATTCTAAAATATGCTGCCTGCCCCAAACTAATTTTGAAAGCCTCTAGGAAAATTTGCAAAGTGCTCCTAAATCTTTATCTTCTGAAATGCTTCTTAGCAAACTGGATTCTGAACCCTAAAGAAATGAGATCTGACATGTGGCAAGAGCTTATGAAAAACAAAGCTCCTGGGGGTAGGGTTTGGCTCAGAAAATCAAGGTTGTGGCTAAAAAGAGCCTAAGAGGTCACCCATTTAAATTCAGAGAGCAAGTCAGAGGTTACGCAGGTTCCCTGATATTAATTTCCACTGCCAACTAGCTGAACATAAAGCTACCCTTTTCAGGAAATTAATGGGATCCAGTTGAGAACTGCCTGACCCTTTCAGAGCTTACCACATCTCCCAAAAGGAACTCTTGTCCTGAAATTCTCTGTCCCTGTACCTTGTAGCTTTCACAAGCCATTAGTTGTAGTGTATAATTATCAACTTGATTATTTTTTTAAAACATTTTACTTGATTTATCTCTCGGTGTCTTTCTGTTCTGATGTCTTCCCAAGTGTCTCAGCCTTTGGGACTGGAGACTTTTACTGACCAGGTGTTTTGAGCTGCTTGGACCTTACAGTCTGTGAAATAAAAGCCAGTTCGGTCTGCTACTGTATCTGATTTCTGGAGTAAAACCCAGACTTTGAACTGGGAAACAAACTGATTTTTGAACCTGTGGGCACAGGTTAGATGTGAGGTGCAGTGAATGACAAGAGAGATAGGAAGGCCTGTGGCTCCTCCAAACTCACTGGCCAGCGACTCCTGCAAGCTCAGGGTTCAGAAAGTGGAGAGCAGAGAGCACAGGGATCCAGCGTGTGGGCCTGGACCCCCTGAGGCCAAGGAGAAGAGAGACTTTGCCAGCAGATTAGGCAGAGCTTCAGGCAACAAGGCCTCTGGAGGTGGGGGAAAGCAGAGGTCAGGCTGGCAGGAACAATCAAGAGAGATTCCTTTAACAAGAATAATTTGCTTCTGCAGGATGCCTCTTTGGGGAAGGGGTTTGGCTGGAGGCTCCTGCAGGTGGCGACTCCAGCGCACTGCCTCACCTGGGGCACCGCTGCATTGCTCTCGGCATCTGCTCGCGAGGGGCGGGCGCAGCTCGCCAGTACCACGAACCCGGATGGCTGGCCGGGTGCGGACTCCAGCAAGGCTGCCTTCACGGAAGTGGTGCCCAGGTCGATGCCAAGAGTGACAGACTGCACAGCCATGATCAGCAGCAACCACAGCAGGTCTCAGATCAGCTACCGGCCGCACGCGCAGCGCACTCTTCTGGGAAGGAAGTGGCTACACTCGGTTTTGAGTGCCACACTTTTACCACACAATATGGCGGCCTCTCGTCTTCCCATTGGCTGAGGAAAGCGGACTCCTACGCACCCCTCACGGCGAGCCCCAGCGATAGGTAAAGAGGAGCCAGAAGGCGGGATCTAGAGACCCCGCCCTTTAGCCCAGAGGTTCGCGGACAGTAGAGCCCAGTCTGTTTCTCGCTCACCGAAGGGACAGAAGCTACAAAGGCTCCTAGAGCCTTTGTGACCCTAGGAAAGGTTTGATTTTCCTTCATCCTGGAACTCCCATCCCTGTCAAGGCGTCTGTGCCTCTCTGCCGTTCCCCCAACACTGCCCAGCTCGTTCTGGTTAAGACTCGAGAAAACTACAACTGCCAGAGTACCTCGCGCAGAGATCGGGCCTCTGCGAGTCAGGTGACTCGAGTCAGGTGACAGCTGGCCCGCCCTCACACAAAGTCAACCCAGCCCGGGGAAACCAGGTACACTCCGAATCGGTATCTGGCGCGAGATTGCTGCGTCTCGTGTGGTCGGTCCCCGGATCCTGGGAAGATCTCAGGTGAGAGCCGGCAAGCCCTGGGCAGCTCTCCGCGTTTCCCAGGCAGACCTCTTTGAGGCCCAGAGGCTGGCTCGGCATATAGGGTGGGCAACCTGCCACGGTTGCGGGTCCCCTCCGCCGCGCTTGGGTTTCATCTCCTACCACTGGACAGCCTCCGGTTTGAAGCGCCCGGAGAGGGCTGCGCGGAGGCAGTCACGGGGTTGTCAGGGTGGTGTGGGAGGCTTTATTCCCGTGTAGTTCGATTCCCTTCCCGCCTCCTGCCCAGTTGCCGCCTAAATCTAACTGGGGAGCACGCGGATTGCTTGAGGGAGGCTATTCTCTGAGAGGACCATTCTTGGAGTTACTGTTGACTTATCCGATGCTGGGCTCCGAGGGGGCACTAGGCAGGAAAAGAGGTGCCATCGCCCTCTGGGGTTATCAGACAAGGAGGGGTGAACACCTGGACCCTGCCTTTTCAATAAGATTGAGGAAAATATGCTTTGTGAGAGCTTGCGAAGTGCCTTTGGCACCACTAGTAATCACATTGTACCATATAGTATTTCTTCAACTTTTTTAGTCACATCAACCCTTCTCGAGATTTTAATGCTGGTGATAAGTTGTATTTGCTTATGTATTATAGCCTTTATTGCTTATGTATAATGGTTTGAGGGCTAAGACCATTGTAATTTTTATTTTATTGGTACATTTTAGATATACATAGTAACATTCTTCATAGGAAATTTGAACCTCTACATGATATGTCTTCTTTTTTTCCCTATCGCAGACCTCCCTTGAAGCCCTCTTCCTCTCCTTAAAGGCTTTGTTTCCTTTTTTTTTCTTGTCCCTTCTTTCCCCTTCTTTGAATATTTTCTTTCCGTTTCCTCATGTCTTTTATACATTCTGGTCCTTATTTATACTTTCCGTTTCTCACACCAGAGAAACAAGCAGTTTTTAAACATGTGTGTCCGATTTATTTCACTTAAAAGAGTATACTATTGTGCCGGGGATTTAGCTCAGCTGTTCAGTGGCCTGCCTTGCAAGCTCAAGGACCCGAATTAAATCCCCGGTACCCCCCCCAAAAAAAGTAGACTATTGTAATATTTTAATTTAGCCCTTTTAGGAATGCACATTTTCCATTTCATCTCATTTATGAGGTAGTTACTACCATCCCTGTTTCCCCATAAGGAAATTGAGGAGGTAACATTTAAAAAGTCACACAACTAATAAATGGGGAAACCCAGATTTGAACCTGTATAGTTTGTCTCCAGAGCACACACCCCTATCCAAATCTGTGTTATCTCTCCAGGAAGTTCCCAGGGGTGGGACAGAGGACAGGGCTAACACAGATACCTGTGTAGTCAGGGGAGAGCTGCCACAAAAGATCTCTCACTCCAGATTCACACCAGAAGGGGACTATGGGGATGAGAGAGGCTCTTGAAACTGGACATCTGAATGAGGCCTGGAAGATAGCTCTTATATTGGAAGAAGGCCACACCAGACAGAATCCACTATCTGAGATGCTATTTTGATACTGTAGGTTTCACAGTCCACTAGTTGTGTATGATCATCAAGCTGATGTTTTGAAGCATTTTAATCAACTTATCTGTCAGCATCTTTCTATCTTCCCTAGAGTCTTTCCTCCGGGGTGCCTCAGCCTTTGGGGCTGGGGGACTTTTGCTGACCAAGTGATTGAGTTTCTCTTTCCACATGTTTTTGTGACTTAAGAGAAGAGCTAGTTTGGGGGAAAACAGATCCCTAAGCCAGTAAAACTTCATTCTTTCTGTTAAGTAGGTTGCAAGAAGCAGTTGAAGAGGGAAAAATTCAAGTCTGTGTTCACTTCCTCAGACTGGCTTTACACAACCTGCTGAGCTGCTCTAAGCCACCAGTTTCCCCATGTATCAAAGAAAGATAAATCCCCCCCCAAAACCTGTGAAGTGAAAGTTCTTTATGAGCTTTCCAATTGCCATGGTTCCAGGTGGCACACTGTCTACCTGGAGCTGAGCTGATTCAGCCTTAACATGAAGTTCTCTTGCTGTTTGTTTTTTCTCCTAGTTCTGAGAAATCAGGGAACATGATAAGAAATTGGCTGCTTATGTTTATCCTTTTTCCTCTGAAGCTCATAGAGAGATGTGGTAAGTTTTAAAATGGATCCTCAACTTCGTAAAGAAGGAAATTGTGGCTGTTAGAGTGAGTAATCCAAGTTTCAGTACTGTCTAGGCCACATGTGTGCCTGCTCTGCTCCTCAACCAGGGGTCGTGGACCAGACCCAAGTCTGGGTTCCAGGAGCTTTACAAAGAGCTTGATGATCCCACAAATGGCCTTCTCTGCCCTGGGGTCCCTGTAAATTTTTCCATATCACCAAAGTCAACAGTTGGTTCTTAGTATCATATTGTTTAACTTGTCCTCCAAGTCAAACTTTGGAGCACCAGCAAGCCAAGATAATATCTGTAAAGAATGGCTTATGTTTCTGCCCTATAGAAGTCACCAAAAGAGCTGTGGGTCCTAGGAGACACTTGGGAAGTTGATGAGGTAGCCACCTTGTTGTACCAGTTCTGCCAAGTACAGATCCTGAGGATCACCTGGCATCACCTTGTAAGAGAAAAAAACCTACTTTAGAGGCGGGCAGAGGAACGGTGCCACACCCCAGCAGGGATGTTGGGGAGGCACCCAAAACACAAGGTTTGCATATTCTTGCAGGAGGGCCCCTTCATGTCCTGAGTCATCCAGCAATTCTCCCACTACCCAAAATATTTCTGGAATTTCTTCTACAAAGAGCTTTGTTTGGCACTCTGGGTTGCCACGCCCATTACAATAGTTTTATTATTAGCTTAACTGTTACTAAAAAAACAAATACATCTTAAAATCTCCGACTGAAGAGTTCAAATGAACCTGGTACAAGCAATACAAATCCTGCACACATTTTCCAAGAGTCATACATAGTCTGGCTGCACCATTTTGATTATCTGGCCTCTTGAATCTCCGAGAAAACAGTAGGCATCTGATCAGCTCTTCCAGGTCTGTTAAATATCAGTCATGTTACTTTGTAGTCACACCTATGGTTAAGCAAGTTCTGAGAGAGGAAAGTTCCTTCTGCCCATGGGGCCCAGTGTTTCTCAGTAGGGATGCCAGAGTCTCACTCTCCCCTGCTGGGCCCTGCTCTCTGGAAATAAGCCCTGAATATGTGTGCAAGAGACAGTTGTATGCACAAGCTTGTGTACACATACATAGGCAAACATATTAAAGCTTCTTTAGTAATGCTAATGACTTACCCAAAGAACACCACCACCACCAACAAAAAAAAATACAGCTGATACAACTCTAGTCAAGTGTGGAGGGGAAATTGAGGCCCAGGCTTCCCCAAATTCACAGAGCTAGAAAGTAACAAAGCTGGGACTTACATAGGATCTCCACTCCCTTTTATAAATGCCTCCTTTCTTGAATTCCATTATGAAAGATTAGCGGAAGCTACCATAAAATCAAGTGGCTGGCTTTCTAACATTCAGATGTGGCTGTCTTCTCTTTGCTCTGGGAAATGATCATTAAGGATACTGAATGACATGATTGGCCTTAAAGATTTTTGTCTCTGACTTTGGGGGAAATATAAGGCAGTGCTACCTGATAGGAAGAACTTGGGCTTTGGACTAGACCAGCCTGGGTTTGAATCCTGCATCCACCATTTTTGAGCTATGTGAACAAGAAAATTTCAGTTTCCTAGAAATTTCATTTTCCTTGTGTCTAAAATGGGAATAAAATTACCTACTCCCCATTACAAAATGGAAATTAAGAACATAGCAGAGTGTAGCATGGGGTGGGTACAGAGTGGGGAAGATATCAGTGAATATTAGTTTTTAAAAAAAACAAAACTCCCATTAAAGGAAACTTGGGCTGGTCTCACCATAACTCATTTGGTAATTCTGATATGGTTTACAGAGGCTACCACCCCAGAGTGAACTTTAATATGTGCTTTCTCAGGATATGATGTGAACTCCTAAACTCCCTCCTATCTTGGGCCAAAAATGTCCTACAGTTAAATTTGTAATTATTTTGGATGATAAAAACCGTAACCAACAATGATTCAGCACTCAGACCACGTGGAAAACATGTCACAAACACAGTGTCACAAATCTTCCCAATGACCCCGTGAGACAGTTCTTATTTCCCCCATTTTACAGGTGAAGAAATGTAAGCTTAAGGAGGTTAAATACTTCACTCAGTGGCCACACAGCTAGGAAACGTTAAAGCTAGTATGGAACTGTGTGACTTCAGAGCCCAGTATGTCAGCTGCTTCGCACTACTGTCTTCTGTGGTGCTGAGTGAGGGGGAAACAGCCTCTAATCTGGTGCTTGAGAGTTCCACCCTTCTCCTTTAACATCCACTGACTGCAGGAGATCTAAACAACCTGACCACTGTCCTAACAGAACCTAGGGACCCAGAGGTTTGAGTGGCTGCCTGACATCACCTTCATTGTCCCTGGACCTGAGCAGTGGTTTATTCTGGGACTTCCTTATCAGGTGTGGGTCTGAGCTCTAGTAAAACTTAACAGGCAGGGACAGGAAGTCCTGCACCATCCCAGCTGGGCAAGCCCAGCAGCACAAACCCTCCAATTGATATCTGAATGGTGAGCATAAAAAACAAGGGGCAGAGTGGCCAAAGCTGCCTCCAGTTAAAAGAAGACCTGGCCCATTCTGAGCAGCTAGGCCTCTGCAAGGGCCAGGGTGGGGATATGCTGCTCTGAGGGACCCAGCCACTCGAGAAGGGACCATAAACTATGGACAATGGAAGTCTCAGTCCAGGGAATTGCAGACTCGGGACAACCTCCATCTACATTCACACTTGTCAGGCTAGGACAAAGAGGGCAGCTCATATGTGATCTGAGAGGCTCCAGGTGGCAGTGCTGGCCCCTAGAATACAGGTCTCCAGCTGGCTGAGGGCCCTGGAGGTGTCCAGGTAGGAAGACTGAGAAAGGGAATCAACATTGGAGGTTGATTAGGTGACTGAAGTTCCCTGCCAACCTAAGAATCCAGAATCGCAGCTCTTAGTTCTTTGTCTTCTGCCTTCCAGGGGTCTGAGCAGAGGACACCTGGGCCCTGCCTGGAATCTTTACTACTAAACCTTTACTTTAGGACCATCCTCATTGTTAAAGTTGAGCACCTGCTCCCCCACATAGGTCCCCTCTCCCATCCCAGTCTAGATTCATGATTGTGACCTTTAGGGTGGTGAGGCAGGGAAGACAAGACGAGCAGATGTAGCACAGGGCTTTGAGTACAGCTGGGAGTGGATTTGAGTGGGGAGTATGAGGAGGTCCCCAAAGAATACAGGAAAAGCTCAAAGAGGTAGCTTGGTTATGTTCTGGGACTAAGGTGCTCTGGGGTACTTTACCTCCCAAGATGATAGTCGTCTCCTCCCCGCTCCCCTGCGCTCCCCCACCTCCTGGGGATTGAACACAGGAACACAGGGCCCTGTGCTTGTTACTCATGTGCTCTACCACTGAGCTATATATAATCTAGCCCAGTGGTGGCTGACCTATGGCACCCATGCTGCAGTGGGCTGTTATCATTGAAAGTTCTAAAACGGTTCGCCATTGTTGCCCTAGCCAATCCCCCGCCAAGACAGTTTTCTAAGACCCAACCAAACCCACTTCCTCATCCTTCCTGGAGGCCTTTTTAGCTACCTTATCCTGAGTTAACACCTTAATGCCAAGAGGAAATTCTTGATGGTGAAACAATGGCATTCTTCATTATTCTCCTCTAGTCCCCTGCATATGCTCAGCCTCAGGAAGGATATACTAGGGATCCACCCATGGGTTGAGCTAGATCAATAAGGGAAGCCAAGAGGCTCTTTACAAATGTGGGAGCACTCCATATAGCTCTGAGAAGACAGAAGGTGCTGGACCAGTTCTTCACTCACCATTTTGTCCCCATGAACAGAGTCTCCTGTCTTGTCCATCTGAAGAAGTGATTTCAGTCCGTGTTTACATTTCTAGATGGTGGCTTGAATTCCTTTGGTCATTTTTGGGTTCCAAGGTTCTCAAACTCGCTCTGGGTAACTTGAAGACCTTGAAACCTGTCAGTGGAGGGGGAGGAGGAAGCTCCAGTGTTTCCTGCTCTGACCTGTGTCACCCTCTGTCTCTGTCTCACATGAGGAAGGAGCATAAATGAAGCCCAGGTATCCCATCCCCTCAGGAGCCTTGAACCCCTCCCTGTCTTCACCTAGAAAGTAGGATTACCAGAGAGTCAGAATTTAAGAGTTCAGATTTTAGAGGTTTTATGCACATTTCTCCTCATGGTCTGAGCTCCCTGATCTGATGACTCATGTCATTGACTTGGGTCCTTCCAGAGTCGACTGTCAGCCTCACTGTTCTTCCTGTTGTAAAGCTGGAAAATGGCAGCTCAGCCAACGTCAGCATCACCCTTGGGTAAGTTCACAGGCACCGTTCTATCTTCAGCCCCACTCATATGGGCCTTACAGCTGTCAGGGCTGACCCCAGTGCTGTCTGTTCATATTCCAAATGTACCGCTTGCCTTGTAGCTATAGAACTAACTGTAGAAAGAGCATTGGCACTAGCCCCAGCTGCAGAGAAGCCATTCCATTCCCAGCCCCTGCCATCTCTGCACAGCCACACCTTGTCAATTGTCCAAGTCCTCTTGCCTCAACTCTTCCCTCTCCAGAACCCTTGAGTGGCTTCCTGGTATCCTCCGAATTATCTCAAGCTTCTAAGCCCAAATGTGAGGCCCTATGGGCTACACCCAGAAGGCCCTCATCTCCTTTAGTCAGATTCTGACCTTCACGCCAAGACCTGCTCAGACTTGATCCTCTCTAAGGACCTCTCCACCTCCAGCTGCCTCATTAGTCACTCAGTCTGTGTACTGCCTTCTCATGTTCCCACCCCCTTACCTGAATGGATAATCTAATCTCTTAGTAAAGTCAGAAAATGCCTAAAGAGCAAGGATTCTTCCACCTCTTCACCCCTCAGGGCTGAGCATACAGCATTTCCTATTCTTGCTGCTAAAGAAATGGCCCCATGTGAAATCCAGAAGATTGATTTAGATCTTGTCATGTTCCATTTCTCAGCAATAATCAGACTCTTGTCCTCCACAGGAAGCCATTAAATGCAACCTTGGTGATCACTTTTGAAATCACATTTCAGTCAAAAAATAGTACTATCCTTGAGCTCCCTGATGAAGTAAGTAACGAATTTAACTGATGGGTAGGGAAATGATAGGTAACAAAACTTTGTGGCTTCCTCTGTTCCATCATTCTAGAAATTTGTGATTTAGGCTTTGTTCATCTCTTTGGGGATAGGTATTTTATGCCATGTAGTTCAAATTAAGAAGGTAATAGCCGGGCGTGGTGGAGCACGCCTGTAATCCCAGCACTTGGGAGGCTGAGGCAGGAGGATCGCTGTGAGTTCAAGACCAACCTGGGCTACACAGTGAGTTCCAGGGTAGTCTAAACTACATAGTGAGACCCTGTCTCAAAAAAAAGTCA